CTCCGAAGACATGTTGAGCTCACTTGCTTGACTTCTTCTGCCGCCACCCTATCTAGGAAGCATGGGCAGGCTTCCTATCAGGCAACTACATGGCAGATAAAGTTTCCACTCAATAATGTACACCGGAATGGAACTTACAAGCTTCGACTGGCACTTGCATCTGCCGCATTATCTGAGATACAAGTATGTCTGAATCCTTGCTTCCTCCTCCTCTTCCTCCTCCTCGTTGTTGGTGATGACATTCATGTTGGATTTGAAGGTTCGATTCAACAACCCAATAGTGCAGCAGCCTGCTCACTTCACGACCGGGCTAATTGGGAGAGACAACTCGATCGCCCGACACGGAATCCATGGGTTGTACTGGTTGTTCAGCATCGATGTGGATAGCAGTTGGCTTCTTGAAGGCGACAACATCATCTTCTTAACCCAGACGCGGTCTGTAAGCCCTTTTCAAGGAGTCATGTACGACTACATCCGATTGGAAGCTCCCGCATGACACAGTCTCAAGCACAGTCCATGTTGCTGAATGAAGATTATGTCATGTTCATTCAGACATTATTTCTGCCAAACCAAATAATTGGATCGATATCATATTGAGTATCATGAATATTTCGTGACGTAAATTAAGAAAGATATGTTCTGATCTTTTTTTTTTTTGTCGTGTACGCTTTTAATTCTGTATCGCAATTACTATTGGAAGATGTCCAAACTAAATATTATTGGAGGCGTCTCGAGTGATGTCTTAGCTATTTGTCGGGATGTGCCGCCACATCGTCCACAATAATCTGTCATCTGACCAAAATCAGGCTGCGTAGTGGTTCTTCCCATATCATAAATTAAATGAAAAATAATATTAATTTAAAATTAAAATAATAATTCAAACGATGATCAAATCTAATCACATAAATAGGGCTAAAATTCTTTTATGATCTAAGTTATTTTGATTTTTGATACCAATTATAAGAAAAAAAACTATGATAATACTATTATGCGGAATAAGTTTAATCAAATAATTATAGATCGAAGATTATTAGATTTGTATACCTTTTAATATCATTCTGAATAACTTTATCTGATCCAATAATACACTCCGTAGTTTGATCTAAGAGATGAATTAGACTATCCTTCTTCTCTCTTATTATCTTTCATAGACCATTATTAGTAATGAAATAATGACTAAAAAGAAATAGAATAGATCGATAATCTAAAATGTTATATCTAGATAAATAAATAAGAGCAAAAGATCTATGATAAATGATTAGAAGAGTCTATAAATTAAGTTATCTTCTAAAAAATTTTCTCATAGACTAATTATATTTAGAATCCAATCAGATCTATAATATAATTTATCCAATTAAATAAGATTATATAATCTTTTTTTTTAGCACGACAATAGTGGATTTGTAGGTTGTGACGAATAATGACATCATCCAACTCACGTTGTCGAAGCCTAGAGGTTTCATTAGGGGAGTCAGATACAATGGAGTTGATGATTTACATGAAGTTACATAGATGACGATAGGTGTCGGTAATGGAACTCCTATTTTCCTCCGTATCATCCTTTGTGACAGGTAGCAAAAAAAAAAAAAGGTTTGAACTTTAGTTCATCAAAAGTCATAAACGAGCCATTAGTTATGGCTGCATGACAATGTTCAACATGAAGTATACTTAATTCATACCTTCATCAATGACATAAAGTCATCTCCATTTCTCTCGTTAGAATGCCAAAAGACCACCAAGAACATCTTTAACCTATTCCATTGGGTGTATGACTCATTTTGTTGGATAAAATAAAAAAAAAAGCTCAATCCAACCTTATATTATAAAAAATAGAAAACTATTCGCCTTAGACAAGGCGACAATGAATCTCTGACCCACTCTCTTTGGAAAGAAAAATATCGACCCATACATAATGTGTTCATCAGGACATAAATATCAAAACATCTAATGAGCAAATCATCCCCCTTCATGCAGAGTGATTGTCTATAACATAAATATCAAGGTGTTTGAAGCATTCTGATGAAGCAAAGCATCTCTCTATTACACATCCCTCGACACAAAAGCATCAAAATGCTCGATGGATCCTCGTTAGACAAATCATCATCCTACACATGGCATGCGTACCTAGGATTTACTCATATATGATGATATATCTATCTAAGCCATAAATATCATAACCTAATATATCCTAATCAAATAAAACATCTTCGATGCATCCACCCAGAACATAAGAATCGAGATGCTTGATTCATTCTAATCCTCCTTCCTTCGGTTGCATTCATCTTAGATAGAGTCATCCAGAGCATCCTATCCATTTTTTAGCAGTCAATAGATGTCGTGTTTTTGAGACTGGCATTTTACTTTGAAATGGATAAATTTGTTTCTCCAAGCACTATGTAAGGCAATTGATATATATACAATAATTATTTGCAACCAATCGGATTCTGACTCCTTCCTGAAGTTTTCAAGTACCATAGTTTTTCTAAAAAATATTGGCAGTAGTATATATAGTATATAAAAATAAACAGGTAAAAAGGACGGAAAAAAAGAAAGATATAAAATTGGGATGTCATATTATACACCCAATTGTCGCATGAAAGCTACGTGATTCATATAGCACCCACCTCCGTCTTCATCTTTGCAGGGACGCCCATAATACTTTGGCCGCGAGCCAAAACAAACCTAACCAACTCGTGGCATACAGAATACAGATAGCAGCAGCCCGTGGCAATCTAAGCTCACAAACGCCTCTTGCTCGCACGGCCTTGCATGGCATCATCTTCATGTGAGTAGAAGCTAACAGAGATACACCATACTTGCACCAGCTGTTTCCTGATACCCTCTCTGATTCCGTCGCCACTGCATGCAGTGCAATCCTTACCAACTTCATTCGCCGCCGATGTGACGGTGCACGTGGAACGCCAACATGTAAGCTATCCATTTTGTATCGTCAATGGTTCGGAGTAGTTTGAGCGATGTGTCTGACAGAAGTGGAATTGGAGGTTTTATTGGACAATGGCATCGTCCAACTCACGTTGTCGAAGCCCGGAGGTTCCATTACGGGAGTCAGATACCATGGACTTGATAATGTAAACGAAGTTAAGGAAAAAGAAGACGGTAGAGGGTATGCTAATATATAGCTGAAATTAATCTTTTTTGATCCCTCAAATGCATATCGATCTTATCATCCACTGGTGATGCGCAGGTATTGGGATCTTGTTTGGAATCCATCAGATCGAGATTCTGGCATATTTCAGAAGTGAGTGTAGCTGCTCATCTCTCTCTTCCTCCCCTAACCTTTTAGCTTTTGCTTACCATTTCAATTGGGTTACAGAATACTCGGAACAGAGTTTGACGTAGCGCAGCAAGATGCAAACCATGTTGAGGTCTCTTTCAGAACAAAATGGGATCCCTCCCACCGAGGCAAGTTCGTGCCTTTAAACATCGACAAAAGGTTGCAACGCAAATTCTGCGCTTGTCAAGAAGCAAATACTTGTCGGCTAAATAATTGAGATTGAGCTTATAATTCTGTAGGTTTGTAATGTTGCGAGGCAGCTCAGGCTTCTACACCTACGCCATATATGAACACCTTCAAGGCTGGCCCGACTTCAATCTAGGAGAGACCAGGGTGGTTTTCAAACTTAGAAAGGACAAGTACATGATCTCCACCTTTCTTCATGCAATTTTCTTCTTGACCATTTAATGTTCATGATGTAGATCTTAAGCTTGTTCTTTTCTTGTGTTACTAGCTTCTTCATTAACACTTCTTCTCCGAAACAGGTTTCACCACATGGCCATTGCAGACAACAGGCAAAGAATCATGCCAATGCCTGATGATCGCAGGGACGGAAGGTCACACAAGTTAGGATACCCTGAAGCAGTCCGACTCATTGATCCAACCAATGCAGCCTTGAGAGGGGAGGTAAACAGAGGTCTACATTTGAATGCTTCCATTTACGCAGTTCATAGAGTGATCATGCAGCATCTGAATCTGCCAAATAATTGCATAGGTGGATGACAAATACCAGTATTCCAGTGAGAACAAGGACAGTTTGGTGCATGGATGGATTTCTTCTGATCCTTCCGTAGGGTTTTGGGTGATCACCCCAAGCAATGAGTTTAAGTCAGGAGGACCTGTGAGGCAGGATCTGACATCTCATGTTGGTCCTACCGCCCTTTCTGTAAGTGCCTCAATCACCTGCAAGATCTTCCGTCTTCCTCCCAAGCCAGATTCAATTGTTTGATACGAATCCTTTCTTCACAAATTTTAGATGTTCGTGAGCTCTCATTACTCCGGGGTGGACACTGTGCCTAAATTCAGGAACGGAGAATACTGGAAGAAGGTGTTTGGCCCTGTGTTCATATATCTTAATTCTGCTCCGGACAAATCGGATCCAAAGCTTCTCTGGGAAGACGCCCAGAAGCAGGTAGGCCATCTTGCTTCTTTTCCCATCGAAAACTATATCCTATGTGGTAGTCATTCCGTACTTGAATTCCTTCTACTTGTCAGCCCTGAGACACATGCACGAGACTCTACACTGAGCTTTCTTGTTCTTGATTCAGATGCAGGTTGAAGTGGAGAAGTGGCCGTACGAGTTTCCTGCTTCAGAGGACTTCCACAAGAGCGAGCAGAGAGGTTCTGTTTCTGGTAGACTACTTGTTCTAGACAAGTATGTAGCACTTTCCTGTTTCCTCGAGCATTTTACTGTGCCTCATAATGTGGAGTGATCTCTGTTCCGATGAGGATATATTATTGTGTCAGGCACATCAGTAAGGAATACATAAATGGGAATGCTGCTTTTGTTGGTTTGGCTTCACCAGGAGAAGCCGGATCTTGGCAGAGAGAAAGCAAGGTTCCGGACCTATTGATCATGCTCAAGCAAGTTCCTGTCATGATCCGAGCTAAAAATGATCACCATCATGTGTTGCAGGGATACCAGTTCTGGGTGAAAGCAGACGTTAACGGCAACTTCTTCATCAAGAACGTCAGAACTGGAGTGTACAACCTTTATGCATGGGTTCCTGGTTTTATTGGGGACTACAAATCTAGTCTAAACATAACCGTAACGTCAGGTTAGTATGATATGTTTGTTGTGCTATTCTTGTTCTTCTGCTCTGTCAATTTCATGAATCTGATGATATTAATCTGAGCAGGAAACCACATCAATCTGGGTAGCCTTGTGTATAATCCACCAAGAGATGGGCCAACCTTGTGGGAGATCGGCATTCCCGATCGCTCCGCTGCGGAGTTCTTCGTCCCAGATCCTGACCCTAAACATACCAACAGACTCTATGTGGATCATTCTGATAGGTTGCACAAATCTGAGGGTTCTTTGATTTCACTGCATTTGAGGTTGCAGCACTTCATTCACCAAAATTCCTTGGTGTTCTTCTTCTTCATCTCAGGTTCAGGCAGTATGGGTTGTGGGAGAGATACGCAGATCTGTATCCTGATGGAGATCTGATCTATACAATTGGTGTCAGTGACTACAGGAA